GTAGCCCTGCGGCTCACTGTCAAAGGCGGTAGCCGGCTGCTGGTAGGTGCCGCCCATGCTGGCGGGGTCCGGCCCTGCGCTGGGCTCCACGTAGGGGGCGTAAGGCATGCTGGAGTCCTGGCTGGGGTCCATGTAGTCCTGGGAGAAGAGGGCCGAGTCGGCGCCAATCTGGTACCGCTGGAAGGCCAGCACAGCCTGGCCCGCCTGGGGACGACGGGGCCGCGGGGACAAGGATGGGAGGGAGGGGATGGTTAGGGGAGAGACAGACAAGAGCACTGAGTTAGTAGTGGTTAGTTGACGGGACACAGGGTTAAAGATCCTCAAAACACCAGACATAAAACCAAGCTGTTCCAGAAGCTATCCCATCCAGAGGCCAGAACCACCACGTCCAACCAGAGGCACCCCCAAGCCACCTGCCCCATGCGCCCCAGACCCAGAGGTCACTCTAGGCCACCAGAAATGTTTATTTCCACTGTGGAGGGTTAGGATGGCCCCCAAATCTCCAGCCTTCGCAATGTGTATCTTTAGGGGTATTACACAGAATAGGGAAAAATGTTTCTTAGTAGGACAGAGGGAGATCTCTTGGCATTTCCTAAAAACTATCCTTCTATATCTCCACAGGCAGACACAGTCACATGACTAAGTTTTGACCAAGGTACTATTTCCATATTCTCCGTCCTTTGCCTTTGATCTGATGCCTAGAACGCAAATATGACGGCTGCAGCTCTAGTTGCCAAAATGGACCATGAGAATGGAAGATGCCTGGGTCGCTGAAGACCCCTCCAGTCACTATGCCAGCCCTGGACTCACCCCGCCCCCCGCCAGACTTCTATCTGAGTCACCATTATTTGGGATTTCCCTCATTGCTGCTAAACCTGATACACATGGTCAATTAAATATAGGGAACTGAGTTAAACAGAAACAAGTTTCAGGATGTCACGACCTTGACTGTCAGAACTTGGGCTATTCAGGGAACTCTAGCGACACCTCTGCCAGTCTCACCTGACCACCGGCAGCCCTTTTCACACAGCACACGTACGTGTTAGGACAGTTTTTTTTTGTTTTTTATTTTTTAATTTTTTGAGACAGGGTCTCACTATGTAGTTGAGACTGACCTGGAACTCACTATGTAGCCCAGGCTGGTCTGGAACCCACAGCGATCCTCCTGCCTCAGCCTCCCGAGTGCTGGGATTACATGCGTGAGCCACCACGCCCAGCGACACATTTTTTCAGTACAACTATTGTTTTAAGAACAATGACACTGACCATGCCAAGCTAAGGGGTCAAACTTGTGACTAAAACCAGCCTTGAGCCAGGCAAGGTGGTGCACGCCTATAACCTCACCACTCTGGGAGGCTGAGACATGAGAATTGCAAGTTTGAACTCAGCCAGGCAATTTAGGGTCTCAAATAAAACACAGCTGGGGATACAGCTCAGTAGGCTCTGGATTCAACCCACAGTACCACAAACAAGAGCCTCAAGGTTTATGGTGAAGCCTTTGCAGCCGGCCTCCAGCCTGCGGCGGGAAGCACCACATCGCCCATTCCTGTTGGGGGCTGGGAAGACTGAGCCCTAGGGAAGGCAGTTAGTGCTGGAGCCCAGCCCTAAGCATGGAGTTCCTGGTTCTTCCTGGGCCAGCACCCCCTCACCTGCTTCCTTTTGGTCAGTCCCCTGCAAAGCACTAAGTCAACCAGGAACCCAAAAGGGCCAGCTGTGAACAGGCTGGAGCACCGTATACTTGATGCTCTGTCCCAGAAGGTTCCAGAAGCCAGGTGCCAGGCATTAACTAGAGGACTCTGGGACAGCCCCTCCCGGGAGGTAAAGCACAGGGGCCTGGAAGGGGAGACGTCTAGGGAAGTGGGGTGGAGGAGTGTACCTCATCAGCAGGCTGCTGGGGGCTCACAGCTGAGCCTTAAGAGGTGAGGTGAGGACAAGGAGCTCCTGGGGGCACCTGAGGTGCTGGTGAGCCTGTGGGAGCCCAAAGCCCAAATGAGTGTGTGACTCTTTGAGAGCAGGGTCCGCAGGCCTGGTCCCCTTGAGCTCCCCACTCTACTGCTGGGAAGGGGGCGGAGCAGATGGCCTTTGCAGACCCACCCAGGAAGCGGGCTCTGGACACTGGAGCCAGTCTAGGGGTCAGCCCTTGGCCCTATGGGCTTCAAGGCCTCCTGTGGCCAGTTTAAGGAGCCCCAGGAAGGGGACAAAGGAGAGGGCTAGGCCCATGGTAGCCTGGGCTGTAGAGGGGAGGCCAGAAGTCCTGCTCAGGGTTTCAGGACTTGGGGTCCACCTGGCACTCTTTCTAGCACACTGCAGCATCCTCCTAGGCAGCAGGTAGTCTGCACTTGTAGGCGTCTGGTGCCGGGATGCTCACTCCGTGTGCTTGGCTCTAGCGAGGCTCGGGTGCTTCTCCTCACCTCTTGTGGGGAGGACTGGGTGGGGCCCCCCAGGCAGCTGAGCCCAGGGAGGGCACCTGTGCAGGGCTGAAGGCCCAAGTCCTCTGGCAAAGCAAGGACTGACTGGTCACACAAGATCACCCCTGCAACAGAGCTTACAGAGGAGCCCAGCTCTCTGGAGAGAATGAACGAACAAATGGATGAATGAACGAATGAGTGAATAAGTCCAAGAGCTTACACTTATGGAGCCTCCCTGTGCCAAGCCCTGTGTCAGTCTTTCCCAGCTGTACAACCGCCTTGAGAGGCTGGTCCATTATTATCTGTCAGCCCAAGGAAATGGACTGAGGCAGGGCTTTTCTCAGTCACCCAGAAAGGGACAGCAGGACCAGGCTGAGACCCCCACTATCCCAGGCTATACTCCTCCTGGCGGCTACTCTCCAGTGGGCCACAAGAGCATCCTTCACACCCTGTCCCCAGGACAGATCATCGCACGCTGGCCACACCGCAGTACCTTGGGCGGTGGACACCTCCTGACAAGCAGAGTCCCCCCAACCTCTAACAGCCTGCAGCCCATCTGGGGGCAGCTTCGAAAAGTCTGTCTCCCCAACCCCGTCTGTGTGCTCCCGGGGTCAGGGATCCTGTCTAACGCATCAGAGGCACAAAACAGCTGCTCAATAAATGTTTACTGAATGAATGAACACACAGTGAATGAAGAAGGCACTAAATGAAGGAAAGGAATAAGTGGCAAATCTTAAGCCCTGGGGCCAGTGGGTGGCTAGGGCTGTGCTGAGGCAGGGAACAGCGTGCTGTACTCCTCCTGGAAGGTAAGGTCCTTGAATCTGCGCACGGCCAGGGCTGCGGTCAGGCTCTGCCGGAGAGAGCAGGGTGAGGCCGCTGGGGAGGACTGGGAAGGGTAGAAGGGCCAACAGAGGGCCACTGAGAGTCAGCACTTCAGCTCCGCCCCCAGAAATCCTGGTGTCCAATCACCCATTCCGGTCTAGAGCCCTGTCCGATCTCAGGGCCGACTTTCTTTCCTGGAAACTGTGATCTCCAGTTCTGGGGTAACTTGTTTGGCCTGAGGTCCGCTGGGGTGGCCTTGTTCCTCCTGCCCAGGCTTGAAGACATCAAGAGCCACAGTGACCATAGCTGGACTATGAGGAGCTGGACCACAGGTCTCCCCCTTCAAACTCCACCTCCCAATACTGTACTGGGAGGCTAGATGTCCTGGAAGAAAATGGGGCCCAAGAATCCAGGGGCCCAAGAAGAGACAGAAATGCATGGGCATGGTGGGCCATGCCTGCAATCCCAGCTACTCAGCAGGCTGAAGCAGGAGGGTCACAAGTTCAAGGCCAGAAGAGGCAACTTGGTGAGGCCCTGTCTCAAAATAAAGTAAGAGCTGGGGGTTTAGCTCAGTGGCTGAGCACCCTTGGATTTGATCCTCGGAAGAGGTAGGGAAACCACCTCCGAGAGGATAGGGAGGGCTGGCTGCCTGTCCACAGCCCTGAGCTGCCTTCTGAGAGGCTTGGAGGAACAGTGCTGAGGACAGGGAGAGTCCAGGGATGGGGGCTGGAGCTGAAGGGACCCTGGGTCTCCACAGGAGGAAGAGAAGGACAGAGAAGAAAGGAGACAGCCTAGACTCAGAGAGAGGGGCTGCCTCCACCACCCAGCCGGTGCCTGCACAGCATTGGTCTCCCAGCTGTCGGGCCCAGGGCCACGCTTTCTTCGACTCACATATTTAACTTGAATAAACCAACAATACATAGAGATCAGAGTTCCTGTAAAAATTCCAGTTTCTGGCTTCTTGGGAAAAACTAGAAGGGCTGGCTCTGCAGGTCCCCATCTCTGCTTGGCAATAGCAGTTGAGCAGCGGGGATCCTCTTCGGATGGGCAGGCACAGGCTACCCAGCCCAAGCACCCAGGCCTGTGACTGCTGCCCCTCCTTCCTTCATTTTCCAGATGGAAGACAGGAGCCAGGACAGGTGGGGCAGCTCCAGGTATGAGACCATTTCCTGGCTCAAATCCCGGAGCCCTACCTTCCTGTCCAGGCCTAAAAGGGGTGCTGAATGCCATCCACAGAGTGGTAGTGGGGTCTGTGACCCCACAGGCACAGCTGGGGAGTGAGGCCACCAGCCTGGGACCTGTAGAATGGGCACTCGGATGCTATACTCACCCAAGTGAAGATGGAGAAGAAGGAGAAGGCAATGGCAGCCCGGGCTGCGTCGGTCCCTTCGTTCAGCGGGTTGTCCTTGGGCTTGGAGACCTGCCACTGGTTTGCCAGGAAGCAGAAGCCCACGAACCAGAGGAAGGCCCAGAATGCTGGAGGTCCCCAGGCCAGGTGCAGCAGGCGAGGGGAGGAAGGGGAAGTTCAAAAGCAGGTCTCAGGTGCTCCCCACCCCACAGGCAGGGCAATGGGGACCAGGCAGAGGTGAGAGAAAGTGCAGGTGAGAGGCAGAGGCAGAGGGGAGTGCAGGAAGGAGCAGACAGGGAAGGGCAGGAGCAGACAGCAGCAATGAAGGGAGCAGGGAGCAGGTGAGAGAGAAGGCAATCAGCTTCCCCAGCCTCTGCAGGCTCCCATCTCCAGCCACATCCCAGACTTGGGCCCCACAGCCCAGCCTTGAGGCTGGCAGCTGTCCCAGGAGGACGACCACTGTCCTCCAACCTGCTTGGGTCTCCAGACATCTGGGGGAAAGTGGGGTGGCTCAGCCTGCGTGGGTCTGGACCTTGATTTCCAGGACCTTGCAGCCTCACAAAGCCCTTGGAGATCTGGGGACTTAGCAGGGGAGACTTGTGGTGACCTGGGGACACCCAGAGATGCCCAGGATAAAGTATGTGCTGTACCCAGAGCTACCCAGGGACCCTGGGCTCTGTGGAAGTTTGAGAACTGTAAATTTATTTCTGGTCCCCTCTAGAAAGTCTAGGCCTGGATTTCAGCGGTCCCTGCCCAGATATCCAAGTGCCCAGTCTCAGGGCAGGGGGAGTGAGGCACACAGCTCTGCCCAGACAGAGAATTGGCCAAGCCAACCCCAGGACATGAGGGACAGGGGTCAGGAAGTCCATGTCAGAGGGGAAACAGGCTCAAAGGAACCGACTGTGTGCTGGGTGTCTAGCCACCCCTCACTAGGGAGGGGCGCAGAGGGCTCACAGAAGCAAGATCTGACTCAGCCCCATCCTGCCCTGGCCCAGGAGGGACTTGCGCTGTCCTGAGTGCCCAGGCTCTGCCATGGTCTTGTCTCCCCCTTGCCGGCATGCACCCCTGAGTGTGTCCCTGTGTCTGTCTACTCCTCAGTCTCCCTGTGGGAAATGGGAAGGGAGCGGTGACTGAGTCCTGTGGCCAGGGCTCACCCGAGACGCCGATGTCTGATAGGACGGCCTTCTTGCGGTCCTTGACGCTGCTGATCTGGGGGAAGTAGATGTCCAGGGCCAGGTAGAGGAGGCAGGTGAGGAAGGCAAGCACGCCCACCGCCACACCGTAGCTGCAGGCATTGGGGTTGCGGTTGTAGATGCAAAACTCCTTGCCCTCTGAGGGTCTGTTGAGGTAGCCCTCGTTCACAATGGAGCCGAATACCACGATGGAGAACACCTGTGGAGAGACATGGACACAGCAGGAACAGGTGTGAGCCCTGGGGATGGCTGTCTCCCAGTGCCAGCCCTGAGGCAGGGTGGGCGCCACCTCTGTGTGGGCCCGCCACCTGGCCCTCTGTGAGCGAGCAGGCATTTCAAAGGGAGGCCCAGAGAGGCAGGGCGACTGGCCTGGGGTCAGGTAGGGTGGGATCAATTACTTCCTTCTGTAGTGGTAGGAACTGAGGACCCCTCTTACCAGACACGCAGGCCCCTAGCCAGAGAGGTCTCCCTGGCCCTGACACCAAGGTTCTCCTAGGACTAGCCTGGCCTTGCAGAAGGTGCTCCCAGGCTGTGACCCGCCGAGTCCCCATCTGGGTAGACTCCTCCAGAGGCCCCGATGCCCATCTCCACCCCAAATCGTGTGTCCCTCTGTGGGGCTGTCGCTGTCTTGGGTCTCAGGCTATGCCCTGACTCCACACTTCCCAGTTGCCAGGGCCACCAAGGCCCTGACAAGCAGATAAGTAAAAAAAAAAAAAAAAAAAAAAAACA